GGTATTAATGACTGTTGCTGTTATTACAATTGTGTCATAATTTACAAATTAAAGGTTTGCAATAAAAAAATCTGAATAAGACAGTAAGACTATGACAGTGGTCAGTGCTCTCCAAACTGATTTGACATTCAGTTTAGACTTGTGTGCTGCATAAACGGGGCGTCACTTCTTCTGCAACAATGAAGATAACACAGCATTACGTTGTAATCTGAAGAAGTTCTCTTCTTTTGGTAGGAGTGTGTGTGTGTGTGTGTGTGTGATTCCGAATGGTTCCGCTCACTTAAACACTGATGTCCTGACTTTGGAACACATGAATTGGTTATGTTGAGCCTCTACATCGATGCAGAAGCTCTACACTTCTTCTCTAGTCGTGCCTTTGAAGTGCTTACACACAGCGATTTAAGAATGCTGATGAAACACTGTTTTGGCTTGGATCTGAAGCTTTTGATGGTGACTTTCCAAACTTGTCTGTGACTGGCTAATCTTGCCAAAAAGTGCTAACTAGGCTGAAAAACATTTAAATCAAACATACTCTTTATTGGAACACTGTGGTTGTGAATCGGATTTACACATGATAATAGGAAGGTCTTTTACCTTCTTAAACGTTATGTTTTATACTGGGCCCACACCTTTATAATAACATCACAGCTGACTATTAACTTACCTCTGATTGGATGACCTTGATGAGAAACAGGATGTGGTACACAGTTTTAGAAAGTAGGGATATCTGGCGGCATTTGTCAAGGAAAGCCTGCTCTGATGGCTCCAATCGCTTCAGCAGCTTGCTCCAAAACAGAGTGAGCTCCCTAGTGTGAAGAAGGAAAATTCACAGCCCAATTATTGTCCCATCATTAACTAGAGGGATGTTCAGAGAGCTCTTACCTCTGCCCTTACTTATCCTGAGTGAAAAATCCTGGATCTGCCTACTTATCCAGAACCTCAAAAAAATTTGGGCTTTTCTTTGGGTCATGCTCGACAAACTTTTATGGGGAGCATTGACAAATCGAAATGGAATACAATTTTATTAATACAAATATCCATACCAATTCTGCTTACTGGAGTAATTCTTTATCAATTCCTGATCAATTCTCAGTGTGGAAAATAATATATGCTCTACACAGTCCTAAAATATGGAGGTAAATAATATAATGTATTGATTCTGGGACTAATTGCCACGTTTTTGGGGTTTGGTCTGAAAAGGAGTTATCTTTTTCGTCCCTCCATGAAACAAGGGAAATATGGGGTGTTTTCTTACCAAGCACAATATGTATCTCCTTGAAGAAGTTGCCGGCTCAGGAAGGCTGAGCATAAACTGAAGGCAGCCGTCTCATCTCCGTCTGACTCCAAGTTGCAGATCATTTCCAAGGCATCACGACAGTCCTCCTTGGAAAGCTGTAACAGATTGAAGCCATGTACAGTTATGTTCATAATAATAGCAATGTGTTTAAAAAGGTGAGTAAACCTCAAAATTCTTCAAATAAATTGTATTTTAATGAACACAAATGCATTGGGGACACAGCACATTCTATTTCAAAGCAAGAAATTTGGAAAAAGTAATTGAATTTGGTAATATTTTACAGAAAGTCAAGAAATATAATAAAAAAAATATCAGTGTTGACATCTTTCTTTACAAACTCAAAAATGTACTGTATAAACTAAGAAATGCTTGAAGATTCAACTTTCGTTAGAATCATAAACTAATATTCAGTTGCATAACCACAGTTTCTGATAACTGCTTCACATCTGTGGTACATGGAGTCGACCAACTTCTGGCACCGGTCAACAGGTATTGCAGCCCAGGACAATTGTACTACGTTCCACAATTCCTCTGCATTTCTGTGTTTTGACTCATGAACAGCATTTTTTATGTCAGCCCACAAGTTTTCTATGGGATTAAGGTCCGGGATTGTGCTGGCCACTCCATTACTTTAATTCTGTTTGTCTGGAATCATGATTTTGCTCGCTTGCTGGTGTGTTTGGGGTCATTGTCTTGTTGAAACACCCATTTCAAGGGCATTTCCTCTTCAGTATACGGCAACATGACTTCTTCCAGTATTCTGATGTACTCAAACTGATCCATGATCTTTGGTATGCGATAAATAGGACCAACACCATAGTACGAGAAACATCCCCATATCATGATGCTTGCACCACCATGCTTCACTGTCTTCACTGTGTACTTTGGCCTGAATTCAGTGTTTGCAGGACGTCTGACAAAACTGCCTGTGGCCCTTAGACCCAAAAAGAAGAATCTTACTCTCATCAGTCCACAAAATATTACGGCATTTCATTTTAGGCCAGTCAATGTGTTCTTTGGCAAATTGTAACCACTTCAGCACATTTATTTATTTTTTTTAACAATGGGACTTTGCGGGGGCTTCTTGCTGGTAGCTTGGCTTCACACAGACGTCGTCTGATTGTTTCAGTACTCACAGGCAATTTTAGATCTTCTTTGATCCTCCTGGAGCTGATCATTGGCTGAGCCTTTGCCATTTTGGTTATTCTCCGATCCATTTGAAAAGTCGTTTTTCTTTTTCTTCCTCGCCTTTCTGGTTTTGGCTGCCATTTTAAAGAGTTTGATATAATTTTAGCTGAACAGCCTATCGTTTTCTGCACTTCTTCATAGGTTTTCCCCTCTTTTATTAATTTCTTAATCAAAGAACGCTCTTCTTCTGAACAGTGTCTTGAACGACCCATTTTACTCTTTTTTTCAAGGACAAATGCACAGCCAGCATATGCAGCGTCAGTTGCCTTGAACCAAAGTTTCAAGTTACCAACTACCGGTAGATTTTAGCAAGTGTAAGTGGCTGTCAGTGAATGATGATAACCTCAGTTGTATACCTTAGCATCATAAAGTGTTTTGGCCTTGTAATCTTGAAGGTACACTGAGGCTAAAGGTAAATTTGACTGGCTTGTATGGCAGCACTACGAAAGCCCTGTGGCCCTCTCAGTACATCAGACATATTACCATATTACCGCTATGCCTTTTTAAATTAAACACTGTACCATTTTAGAACATAGGACAAGATGGAGAATATCCTGTGTATGTTCTACAGCACTAATTAATCCCAACCACCAGCTGATGTTAGCGGTTGCAGGAACATATCTTCAGTTGTGTACCATCATCAGGTGTTTCAGTCTTTTAATCACAAGGCAGGCCTTCTATGACAGGCCCACTACAGGTTTGTGTATACTTACCTCATCCATGAGCTGATCCTGTTCAGGGGTGGAACACAGGCAGACAAGGTACATCTGCTTAAAAGGCCCCTTCCCTTGGAAAACAGAACACTCAGAGCATGTCTTTGCTAGCCGTGCAGCCTCTCCCAACTGCTTGTCCTTCATCAGCTGCTTCACTCTCATCTCCAACAGGACCTGCCCCTCCTGCATCAGGAACTCCTCAACTGAAAACAATAGATAGATGGATCAATGTAGATACTTTTTGATCCCAAGGCAAATTAAGAAATTTAATTATAGATTATAATTTGGTTCTGACTCAATACATTGTGTTTTAATGTTTAATATATGTGCAACTCTGGCTAAATGTAAAATAATACCGGAAGTGACTTATATTTCTAGCAGCAACTGCAGACCTTGATAAATAATATTTTCGCTCAATCGAACATAGAAATCAGTACCAGCATTTCACAGGTTTTTCCAGGGCTTTCCAACAGGATAAGGAGTAGCCAACAAGTAGGAAAAAGCAGTAGCTAGGGGGTCCGGGGACACGCCCTTTGGAGAAAAGAATCTGGTCACGTCAAAATGTGAAATATTTGGGACATTCCAATGGCACTATTCTTTCATACACACCAAATTAGTTTTCTTTGTGATTATGAACATGCAGGGAGTTATTCAAATAGAAAACTAGAAATACACCACTTTGTTTCACACAAAGCAGGGGGAAATAACAAGATCTCCTAATTGAGAAGCAGATGTGATGAAAAACAAAATTGCAAAGCACAGTGTACCATGTTCAGGACACACATAGCATGTCTGCATTGCTGTGTACATCCATCTCTGGATGGAGAGGCAAGGATTGGCTGGAACTAGGAACAGCATGTGTACTGAGAATGTGCTAATAAATGCCTGTGTTACAAACAATAAATGTGTTCATGCAGGATCAACTGAAGCCATTTAACTGGAGAGTGTCACCACTAGAACAGCACTGGTGAAGGGTGTCTTTTCACTGGAGGCATTTAATTCCCAGTCTTCATGCTCTAAATAAAGCAAATGAATGAAATTGAGTTGGCTGCATGATCACTAACAAGAATGCTATGAAACGAGTTTCAATTACAGTGAATTTTATTTGTAGACATTAGGATGCAGTCTCTTCTAGATTAGCAATTATGGGGGGGGGGCGTTCGTCCACACCGTCCACACTCACTGAGGCGTTTGGTCGACAAAGTAAATATAGACGGAACAGCGCAAAATGGTGTGCGCTCACAGAAAGTGTAGTTTGCTACATTGCAAAAGAATTGCTGCCCTTTAATACAGTTGAAAAGCCAGCATTGAGAGAAATGCTGCAAACGTTTGACAGGTAGAACGAATTGCCTGCGAGAAATGTCACAAACGGCCTAAATGTTCAATGTTTATCGATACTTGATAAGCCATTTTATTTATTGTTTTGGTTGTGTGTGCTTTTATATTTGAGTGCTGTTTTTGCTAACAGAGACTGAGAGTCCATTTTATTTTTTGTTTATTGTGGAGCAATAAACTTTTTTTCTTATGTGTGCTTTGTTTTTCAGCAAAAAAGTATATAGAAAAAAAGTATGCCATATTAATTCGATACACTGTTTGCCAAAGTCTGCAAATATCTCCTAAAGGCCCACAAGCTGTGTGTGCTGGTAAAAAAATCATCAGGTTGGGAGTAGCAATGGGAGCAATACAGAGGTCTCTGACTGTGATCTTCAATACAACATATAGAAATATCACCCATTACACCTCAAACAAGACAATGTAATCATTCCTCTGCCTCTCACTGAGGACGACCTCAAATAACATACATTGCCACTGTCAAAATGTAATAACTGCTCTTAGCCACTGGAAATGCTATTTTCACATTGGCGCTCAATATGCTAAGTGCTTAGGCACCAGACTGCAGCTAAACAAAGGAAGATTACAAAATAATGAAAGGGCGAACCCCACGTTGACATCAGTTTGCCAATGTGGAGAGATCAGTGGTGCACAAGGACAATGCATGAATGAGGGGGGGTGGACCCTCTGAAGAAACAGAGAGGGGAGGGGTGTATTTGTTTTCAAACATCATCATTCCCTCGAATAATTATCCATCTTCAAACAGTTAATATTTTCACAAATTATAGCCTAATTCTCTTGATTAAAAAAACAAGAGGGTGGACAGCGGCCGTGTAAAACGACTCCGTGTTGCGTGCGTTTTTTATGCATCACAGGGAAGGATGAACACTTCACTTTCTGTGTCTGTCATGGGCGCTGAACCAAGTCCACTAATGTGGTCAAAGCCATCAAGTGCAGATCACATGGTGAAAATAAAATGTAAATCGAATTGAAGAACAAGGCTTACTTCCTGTTCCCAGTAGGAGGCGCTATCACTATCACAAGATACAGACTAATAGATCTGTTCAGGTCGAGGCTCGTGCTACAACAACTTAATTTATACGCTGATCAGTAGATGGCGTGATGACCCTGCGTTAATATTGACATATGGAGCTCTTCAGGCCTGGACTCTGATCATGTGACAGAATTTTTTGGGCTGATTGGACAATGCAGAGTGGAGTTATGACAACTTTGTCTCCTTTGACAAAGAATCACCCTTGGCAGAAAGTAAAAGGGGTTGAACATTTGTAGGGGCATATCAAGCCATGTCCCAGTGCATATTAAAAGTTCAACCCTTCTACCTTCGTAAAAGTTCAGCTAAGTAACCTAACAGCTGTATGGGGCGGACTAGAGAACTCACCCTGAGGCCATAATCATTATTTGGGAAGATTTCAACCAGCCAACATGAAGCAAGTTCTCCTTAAAAACTATCAACACATCATCTTCCCCACTAGGGAACAACAATCACTGAACTACTGCTACACCCAAATCAGCGAGTGTTATAAACCTCTCCCCTGCCCTGCTTTTGGCAAAGCAGATCACTGCTCCATCCTGCTGCTGCCCGCATATAACGCATATAAACAGAAACATAAAAAGGAAAAAACAGTTTCCAGGGTCATCCACAAATGAGGCTGATAAGACTCTGCAAGACTGCTTTGAGACAACTGACTAGCAGATGTTTGAGGATGAAGCTGGTGGAAACACCAGCGAATACACAGGTCCCCAAGAAACCAGTGGACTTTTTGCTGACCTGTCAGTGGGGAGCTTGTTCCACCATAAAGGAGCCAGGGCAGCAAATAATCATGATTTTATTAAGTGGCTAGCTCGCAATGAGGAAGCAAGAATCTGATTGGCAGATGCAGAGCGGAGTGGACATGCTGGGGTATAAGGTATCCATGTCCTCGATGTAGACTGTGCCCGATCTGCTCACAGCACAGTAAGCGGTAAGTAGTAAACTAACAAATTAGGACACAGAAATAGAAGCATCAGTATCTCAGTTTAATACCAACATCTTTTCTTTAAACAATATGTACAGGATATTCATGGTACCATCAACGGTGATGTCGGGCACACTGTGTCTGCATTCAAATCTGCCAGACCGGCAGCACCAGGAAAACTCCACAAGGAATACATATTACACTGGATTTTCTCCAGGCTCCAGCTTCAGAGATAAGCTGTCTGCTCCTGACTGGCGACAACATACAAACTTTGAGATGCACCTTTGAGGGGCATTGTATAACTCACCTGGAAGGGCTGCCACCACAATGAGGCAGTGCCTCAACCTGCAGCAGCCCGGGTTCATTTCCGACTTTTCACCATTTCTGCAATATCCTCCCTAACTCTCTCTCTGTCCGACTTTCACAGCTTGCTCTCCTTCCTGTCAATTAAAGCCAATAAAAGTCCAAAAATATACATCAAATTTGGTGTATCTCCGTGGGGGAGATAATGTTGCAGTTTAGAGGCAGACATGTATGTCTTTTTTACAACCGTTTCTCGTTTGCAGTCCATAGGGATGATGTTGAATTACAGAGTCTTGACACTATTTAGTTCCTTGAAGACCCAATCTTGAGCCTAAGTTAGTGAAGATTGGGTGGCAAAGACGTGTCTAGTGGGCCATCTTCATCAATCTCCTCATGTGGCTCCAGAAACTTCAGTCTCAATTCTACACTACTTGTCATATTCTCAACACACCATTGCCACCAGTTATTAACATATGCAAGCACAATGTTAATGGCATGGTAAATGGTCTGCATTTATACAGTGCTTATCTAGTCATTCACTTGGTGCATCTATGTCGCTCACTTTCTGTCAGAACCTCAACCATACACTGTCGGCACAGTCGTCGGGGGCAATTTGGGGTTAAGTACCTTGCCTAAGGACACTTCAGCAGGTGGATAACAAACTGATCATTAACTACTATTCAACAACATGTATTAGCAATGTGATGTAGAGGGCTATATTGGGATTGGGTCCCGCAGGACCCAACACGTATCTAGCAGGAGTGGGCGGTTTGAACTTTGCTGCGGGCGGAAACGGACGGCTAAAAAAAACACTGCGGGATCGGGAACATACTAGTCAACCTCTGTGTTGAGGCGACACACCTGCTCTGTTCTCCCCAGTCAAAGTAAGCTGCTTTTCAAGGAGCGCTCTTCCTGACCAGTGCGACAAAAGACATGCAGGCCAGGGAAACGAAACAAATTACCCCATGAATCTCTTTATTAATAGCCTATAAAATGAGGTGTTTTCTCCTGCGGGACAGGAGAAGACGCAAAATCAATGCATGTCTATTATTGTGCAGGCATAAATTCTCAGAGTTTTGCGGGTGTGGGTGGGAGAGGACATACACATTGCGGGAGCGGGCGGGAGTGTAACACACACATTGCGGTTGCGGGCTGTAATGGTCAGAAATTCAGCTGTAGCAGGCAGGAGTGGGTTAAATAAAACATTCCAGCACAGGGCTCTAATGTGATGCCCCATAAGTAATGATGTATGCAAAGAAAGACCCTGAGTCTATGAAGAGAACAAACATTAGCTTTTAAATAACAAAATATAAATTATCACAACACAAATCAAACTAATATCATCACATGAATCGTGTCATCGTGTCACATGTGACCTAATTTCTCAACTGTGCGACAAAAAAAAATCTGAGGTCGCACCTGTGCGACAAGCCATTCGAGGGAAAAAAGTTTCCGCGACTCTGAAAGCTCCCTTTGGTTCAACAACAGACACACATAAGGCCCATATCGTGGTCTAAACCAATCAGAGATAGTATGGGGCGGGACCCCCCTCTGATTGGCCGTGGTTCAAATATTTCTGTACGTGTGTGTGTAAGTTTGAAAATGCGTGTGCTGCGGTCAGATATAGAGAGGTGAGACCATCAGATTTAGAGTGGAAATAGCCGCGGATGATAAGATGAAAAGAACGATTGACGACTTTTTTATGAAGAATTTTAAATTAAGGCCCGATTCGTCCGAAGGTCATAACCAATGCGCTGACACGGAGCCATCAACTTCCCAGGTTATGTCAAGCCATAGTCCGGAGACAGCATCAGTTAATGAGCCACATACAATGGACTCCGAGCCACAACCCACCGAAATTAAAAGGGGGAAAGTGTATACATTTCGAAAAAGAGTGGTTTGACCAGTTTCCCTGGGTAAGATACAGTAAAGCCGATAATATGATGCACTGCATTTACTGTAAAGCGTGTGGTAAGACCATGGCCAGCAATAGTGCATTTGTGACTCGTTGTAATACATTCCTAAAGGAATGCGTCATTGTGTACGGTCGTATCTTGCGGAGAGGAAGACCGGTGAATATACTGATTGGACACATTGAGGTCAAGCATGCCCATGCCCAAGGTAAGCCATGTCATCATGTCATGTAGCTGTGTCAATAATATGCCTACTGTCTCCTTACTGCATTAATCTTACTTTTGAAAATTAAAAAAATTAATATAATGAAATAAAAATTAAAAGGTTGATTGCATTATAAACTCTTGATCTGGGAAGTAAATGATATTATCTTGTGTTGTCAGTGCAGAGGGACAATCCAATGATAAGTCAACTGTACGACCTTCTACATTTAATTTGGAAGACGTACCATTTCAGCCCCAAATCAATGAGAGAGCTCAGGGTCATTGGAGCTGACTTGGGTGTAAATGTGCTGATGCCCAGTGGGTTGAAGGGGACAAGGTGGCTCCCACATGTTTCAAGGGCCTTGGAGACCTTTCTTAAACCAGGACAGTTCACTGCCACAGTTCTTCCCATCTGCATGCCAAAGTGTCCTTGGGCAAGATGCTGAACCCCAAAATGCCCAATAGAACAACAAAAAGTGCTAGCAATAGAAGCTGTAGTGTATATATGAATGTGTGTGAATGGGTGAATGGAAAACTGTAGTGTAAAGTGCTTTGAGTGGTCATCACGAGTTGAAAAGCGCTATATAAATAAAAACAGTTACCATTTACTACCATATGGACCATTTGGCAGGCTCCTCTGCCAATGCAGACATTTGAGGCCAAGCTACAAAGGCCAGTGCATTCTTTCAGAATATTTCTTTCCATAGAGCCACTTGTCATTGAATCTTTAAGTTCATCAATGTTCTATGTGACTCATTTTTATTGTTATATGATACAGGTTAAGAAATCAAAGGAAGATGCCTCTTTTGTGGCCTTTTGCCATTTTACTGCAGACATGTTCAGTGGCATTAGTACATTTAGCCTCCTGCTTCATAGGAATGAGATCATCCTACCACAGGTAAGAGAGATGAAGCGGGATTTGTAAATTTAAATTGTGTTTGTGGTCATCTTCAGCTGTGTTAATAATACTACACTGTTATATCTAAACAGGCAGTTTGTGGCCTTGAAAAACTGCTGGTGACCACAGAATCAATGGCTGTGAGACCCAAGCCTGGTGGATGACTGTCAGAGTTCCTGGCTGACATGAGGCTGCAGAGTAGGCAGCAGCAGTAAGAGGGTGAAATGACACTCTACAAATTCCAGGTATATGTATGGTTCTGTCTCCCATTTAAACAGAGAACAGTCTATTTGTACAAATATTCCTAATATCTAACTAACAATCTCTATTTATGGTTTATGCAACACACAGACAATAACACTTAAAGGACAGGCATCAAAGCTGGCATGAGATGGTGTTGCTGGCACTAAACTTGACAAAGTATTGGATGCAACAATCAAATCCACTGTAAGACATCTGAATGCAAGATTCAGTTGCCTCCTAGGCAAGTCTTATAATCCTGTCTTATAAACACATGTAGATGAGAAATATTGTGACTCATTTACTAAAATGTATTTGTTCTTACAATAGGAGAGAGTGCTTCTGAGTCTGAGACAACCAAGGCTGTCAAATGCTTCAACATTTTCAATCATGATAGCTGGCCAGAGAACCAAGAGGACTTAGTGGACCATGGTGCGGATGACTACAGGAGTTGGCCATCAGAGGGGCATGTGACTGCAATGGAGGATAGTCCATAAGACATTGAGCCATGAGATTTTCAGTTTGAAGTCCTTAAAACACTTAAACTTTTAATTTAGATTTTTTTATTTAATTTATAGATCGTTGGGACCTGGTATCTGTGAACCATAGCTGGGCCTACATGTGTAGTCAAAAGCCTGACCGCATGTCTCCTTTGCTCTGGAGACAAAGGAGAGCTTCAAGAACTCAGTCTCCCTGGGTGCTTCATCTTCACACATAGGTGGTAAAACTGCTCCTGGAGACAACTCTCAACCGCTATTGGTCACTGTGTGCCCCATGACCCATGAGGTCACCAGGCCAATATAACCAGAGTTTCCCCTCTCCTCGCCCTCTTCTCTCTTCGCTTCTTCTCTCTTCTCTTCCCCTGCTGACCTCTCCTGGAGGAGTAGGGTCTGGCCCTGCTCTCCCAGCCAGGGAGACTTCCTCCCTCCACAAGCTCCTCAACTTCCAGCAGACCTGCCTGGAGCAGACTGCTAAAAGACCTTCCAAAGGCAGCGACACGAGAGCCTGCCTAAGAACTTCAGCACAACTGGCCACGACACAAGGTCTGACCAGCAGATGCACAACAGGATCCACAAATCAACAAGACCACTTCACTGGACTTCGAACAGCACATCCAAAAAGGACCTTTCCCTCTTTTTCATGGACGGGTAACACAACTGGGCTTTATTATTACGATAGGCTAAGCAAAGGACTGTTTAATCCTATTTCATGTGATGTTTATAAGTTTGACCTGTGTTGTTGTGATATTTGGTAATATGTTATTTGAAAGTTAATGTTAGTTCTGTTATGCTGATCACTTCTTTGCATGCATCTAACTACTTTCTGTAACCTGACACACACACACACACACACACAC